GAAACAAAAGAGGAAATCTTTCTAAGGACATCATGTAGCCTCCCGAAGAAAAGTTAAGGAGGTCTTCGCACCGATCTGCCGGACTCTACTAGACATTAGCTCTGTATAAGTGTGACCGGTGAACCTGATGCTCTGATACCAACTTGTCACGACCCGATTTTCTCGAGTGATGATGGCACCTAATATACCCTACCAATAGGTAAGCCAACCCATAACCTAGAAAATCAACCAATGACCGAAAGGGCAGAAACTAACGATAACAATAATCTAAACAAGAATAACAAGGCGGAAGCAACCCAAAATAAATATATACAGAAGTCCCTCCTAGAACCTGGAAGTCACTAGTACAGAGCTGTCTAATAAAGAGTACAAGTCCCAAAAGTGGACCACAACAGAGCGTGTCTCAAAGGCAACAAGACTATCTAAAAGAAAGGAAGGAGACGTAACAAACCCCAAAACGCCAAGTGCTCGCCCTCGTCTCCGAATCACAGCTAGAAAAGAAGACTGGAACTAATCACCGCTGGTAACTGGTACTGGGACCTGCATCATGAAATAGATGCAGAGCATAGCATGAGTACCAAAACAACAGGTACTCTGTAGGCATCATAGGCCGACTGAGCAAAAAGGGTAAAAACAATTAGAAAGGATAGAATCTAGACACAGAGAGGTCAAAAGCGGATACGAAAAGAAAGAACACGAGCATACCAGAAATAAACTAAGTACAACTAAACTAAACCTAACTGGACCCCATATGCACAGAAGGTACACTCGTGGGCAGGCTCAAATAAAACCTTAATGAACCCCCATAAGCCCGAAAGGTACACAGAAAACCTAAGTCGACTGAGAAAGAAGAAAATCGGGCTCCCAGCCCAAAGTAACTAAGATATTCCATGAGACTCCACCCAGCTAGCAGTGCACTCTGTGCCCAGCTAGAAAGAGTGAACCTAGGGGGCACCCAAACAAATATCCACTCCCAGCCCAGCTTGAAAGAGATACCCATTAGTGAGGTAGATATCGCGAGTCGTCCTACCATGCAGTCAGCTCCCAGCCAAGCTAGAAAGGGCGACCTGGGGACATCCAACAGGAAGCACACTCCAAGCCCAGCTACAAAGCGAGGCCTGGGGGAGATCGCCGAAATCATCGAGTCTACCCAGCCAGCGATACGTTCCCAACCCAGCCAGAAAGAACGACCCCGGGGGTGATGGTATCTCCAATAGGATTCAATCCAACAACAACCACCGTGGAACGCCGTCCACTCTAAGACATCACAGAAAAGACTCCAAGCCTATACTATCTCAATCCCACGCCTCTAGTGATGCACCAAACCTTAGAGAATGCGTCGGAACCGTAAAATGTGAGGGGGCAGATACAAAAGTGCAGCAGGTAGCGATAACGCCTAATCTAAGGGTCAAATTATCAGACTCAAGTATGCTATTCCAGTTTACAAGGAGCTAAGTCATTCGAACGACGTCGGCAGCAAGTCAAGGCTATCGAGCCCGCACGAGTCATAAGTCTAAGGCAATGCTTGCCTAACCTTGACTAAGGACATCATGCTTACGGTTAAGGCTGAACAACGAAGACAATACATAGCATACAAGCATATAATAGCATTTAGCACATAAGCATGCAACTCTATTAACTCGGTTAACATGATACTATACCCGAAATATGGCCAATCGATCCTAACATGAGGTATCTAATCAAAGTAAGGTAGCAAACTGGTACCCAACCCCAATTCACTCCAATCGATATGTTCTTACACAATTAAGCTCAATCTAAAAGAAAGTAAGTCGTAGCCTACCTTAAGGCCGACCGTGCGCGCTCCAAATCACGTGACCGGAGCTTTTCCTTCCCTAATGACCTTTGAACACTGTCACTCTATCAAATATAGGATCACAACGTTAGTACGATCGTTTAGACACCAAAGTAACAACAAACGGAGACGTATCAAATTTGAAGTCAAAACGGGAATCATGGGACCCGCACTGAACTGTCCGAATTGGACTCCGTCGAGAGACCCTAAACAGCACTCTAAACTTATGTTCCAAAATGGAACACAATTTGAGGCTCAAAACATACCAAAAACCAACAAGTAAGAAACCACACTTTAATCAACTAAAAAAAAAAAAGCAGCAGCAGTCCAAACTCAGAATAAACGAGAATCAAACGGTTCCCAGCACTCTTTGAATACTCTATGATGAAGCCTCGACAATTATCAACACGTCGGACTTTGAATCACCCAAAACCGAGCTAAAATGAGAGAGATATGACCAAAACAAGAATGCCAAAAACAAAGGCTCGAAAATGGGGTACAGTAGTCAGGTAAATCGCAAAATTACCTCGAACTACGTGCACCCAACAACTTCCAAACACTCTACAGCAAATTCACCGGAAATACGAAGCTCCCGCACTTCGAATCACCTAATTTGAACAAAAGATGAGAGAGTTATGAGAGTTTCAGGGTTCGGAAAAAGTTGCTGTTTTTCTGCATTAAATAGCAGATTTGCTGCAATTTTTTTCCAAAACTAAAAACTCCGACAGGGTGCTCCGAACTCGTTCGGAACCCTATGCACTCATTCCTAGCCCGGACTCAACGGCGTAGTGCAAATTTCCACAGACGTCATCTCGATAAAAAGTGGGTTCTATTTCCAAAGGCCATTTTAAGTCAAAACCCACAAAAGGGCTCGGAAAGATATCCAAAACCTCGGGACACAAAATAATGGTCAATCAACAGCAAACTCGACATTCTGGAACTAACCGCGCTGACGGAATTCTCATCCGAGCGCGTTTACTCAGAATGTTGACCAAAGTCAAACTTAGGCTTAAACTTAAAGTTAAAACGCCTAATCGCGCCGACTCACACTGAAATCATCGGGAATCATGTCCACCATGGTACTAGCCTAAAATGACCTTTCCGGAGCTGATGGAATCGTCAAAATTGGATTCCGATGTTATCTTCTTGAACTTTTGATCGAAAATGATCGTTCAAAGTTCATAAGCTCCAAAACATAAAAACTCGCACCAAGACCAAACAAACGACTAGGTGACCAAACTATCAGTCCCAGCAAGTCATAAATGACTTGGGATCGCTACAGGAACGCACTAAACGACATACAAAAGGCAAGACACAGAAATGACCTGGAGGGTCATTACAATATCCACTACTAAAAAGGACTTTCGTCCATGAAAGATAAGATCAAGAAGTACCTGAAGGCTCAAACAAGCCAGGAAACTGCTCTTGCATCTCCTGCTCGGTCTCCCTGGTAGCCTCCTCGACTGGACAATGCCTCCAATGGACCTTACCAACACGAATGGTTGTTTAGTGCAATATCTTCACACCACTGGCTAGAATGGCAACTGGCTCCTCTACAAATATCAAACGATCATCCAACTCGACTGCATCATACTGGAGCACATGGGACTCATCAGGAACATATCGCCGCAACATCGAGACATGGAAAATCGGGTGGATGGCTGAATATGCTGGAGGTAGAGCCAACTCATAAGCAACCTCCCCAACTGTCCGGAGTATCTCAAAAGGCCCATTGTACCTGGGACTAGGCTTGCCCCGCCTCCCAAACCACATAACGCCCTTCATGGGTGCCATACGGAGGAATACCCGATCACCAACAGAGAATCTCAAAGGTCGGCGCCTCTGATCCGCATAACTCTGGTGCCTACTCGGAACCGTCCTGAGCCTATCCTGAATGATACTCACCTGATCCAAGGCCTCCTGAAGAAAATCTGTACCACGCGGCCTAGATTCTGTAGACTCAAACCAACCAACTGGAGAGCGACAATGCGTACCATATAACGCTTTGAATGGGGCCATCTGAATACTAGAGTGGTAGTCGTTGTTGTACGCAAACTTCTCCAAAGGTTAAAACTGGTCCCAATGACACTACCCCAGAAAACCTCGATGGTGTCAACCTGAGAAACACACTAAGCATCTTGTGGTCCTCAAGTGGCATAGGTCTGTCCGCTGCCAATGGTTATACCTCCTCGGGTGGTACCTGGACTTGAGGTACCCTCACTGTAGGCTGATCTTGCGGTACTAGTGGTGGTGTAACTGGAGCGGGTTGCTGCTACATCCCCCCAAGCACACCTAAGAGCTGAGCAATAGCGGCCTGGAGATCTGGAGTCAGAACTAGTCCGGGTGACGGCTATGCTGTGTCACGACTCGGGAGCACCCCCAAGTCGTAACGAGGTGTACTCGACCCCGAAGGGGTCTTATACAAGCCACATAGTCATTCATTGCATTCAATAATGAAAATAGTGCGGAATAATAAAAAAACTTATTTACATCCACACATTTAAACTTCTTAAAACAACTTTAAAAACACACAGCGGAAGTCTAAGTCTCACATGGCCATCTTAGACACAAACAAAAACATAAGTAGGGACACGGCCCTTTACAATCAAAACAAAACTAAAAGTGTCTATTACATGAACAAAAGAACTTAAAAGTCTTGTCCTCGAATCCATGAGGACATACCAAGTCTTGGAGGAAAGCAATCCAACACTTCAAACTAGCTAAGAGGGATCACTTGCCGGAACCTACACTTGTAGTAAAAACATGAAGAATATGGGTTAGTACACAAAAATGTACTAAGTATGATGACCATGCAAAACATGCTTAAAAAGGGACATTTTAGTTAGAAACCATGCATTATGCCACCTTTTTGAAATATCATGAACAATAGCATAAAAGACATACAAGACAAGCATAACATCAAGTAAGTCATAATATCACCTTTAAACAATATCAACATGAAAACCTTTACCTTGGACCTTCACCTCAAGAAACCCTTATGCTATACCTCGTGCAATGTATGGATGGCGTCCCATACCACCATCCATACTAAGGCACCACATTTAGGTCACTTAAAGTAACTTATCATTCCTTTCTTTCACCTTTGCACAATATTCATACATAAGAGGTATATCATTAATTAAGACATGACAAGGGAAAATAACTCCTAATATAACCCAAGTATAACATGCATACCATTTTAAGCATTTAAGAGCAAACATTCTTTAATAACCTCATTTAGGGTACATTCATGTCACAGTCATTAGAATTTAGAGAAACTCACTATGACCCTCTCCAAGCCTACTCGTGCAATGTATAGGTAGCATCCCATACTACTACCTACACTTTGTAGAACCTGTCAAGAAACCATAATGAAATCTCACATGATGGGAAGTAAGCATTTAACCGACATAGACCATGAGAGCTTGTCATGGAATCCGGTGTCATGAGTCCCCACACCGAAAAGAGGTGGTCTACTTGCCTAAGGAAGACATGTACATATAGCTTAATGGATCCACTGACTTCCTATGCGGGCACATAGTTTATGGGATAAGGTAGACGATCATTGAAACTCATGCCTAACTATTGGGGGAGTTTCCATCTAACCAAATCCACTCGGTGCTTAGCCTACATTCCCATAGAATAGTTCATTACTTTGACATCATCACACATGAAAGGGTGCCATAAGCCTACCGATTCAAGGTACATTATTTAACACATGAAAGGGTGCCATAAGCCTACCGATTCAAGGTACATTATTTAACACATGAAAGGGTGCCATAAGCCTACCGATTCAAGGTACATTATTTAACACATGAAAGGGTGCCATAAGCCTACCGATTCAAGGTACATTATTTAACACATGAAAGGGTGCCATAAGCCTACCGATTCAAGGTACATTATTTAACACATGAAAGGGTGCCATAAGCCTACCGATTCAAGGTACATTATTTAACACATGAAAGGGTGCCATAAGCCTACCGATTCAAGGTACATTATTTAACACATGAAAGGGTGCCATAAGCCTACCGATTCAAGGTACATTATTTAACACATGAAAGGGTGCCATAAGCCTACCGATTCAAGGTACATTATTTAACACATGAAAGGGTGCCATAAGCCTACCGATTCAAGGTACATTATTTAACACATGAAAGGGTGCCATAAGCCTACCGATTCAAGGTACATTTAGGAAAGCTCATTAACTCCTCTTGAAAGGGTGCCATGGGCCTGCCGATTCAAGTCTCATCATTAACCTTTATGGAAAGGTGCCATAGGCCTACCGAATCCAAGGTTCATTACTTATCATTAATGGAAGGGTGCCATTAGCCTACCGATCCAAGGTTCATTATAAGCATGTGTGGAAGGGTGCCATAAGCCTACCGATCCAAGGATTCAACAATCAACAATATAATCATTTATACAAGAAAATGATGCATAAGCCCTACCAATTCAAGGTATACTTTATATTGAAGAATCCTTCATATTATATCATCAACATTCATGAGTGAAACTTCAGTTCACCAATATAATGACTTTGAAAACATTTTACCCATGAACCCATAACTAGAATAGAAAATAGAAGTTTTGTTCTTTGAAGACTCTTGAAACCCTTTTTTAATGGACTCCTTGAAGGAAAGATAATCAAGGATCAAGGGTCACCATACCTTTGCTAAGATTCCCCAAGAAAATTGATGAAGATACCACCTTCAAACCAAGCCCTAGCTTCAAGTTCTTGACTTTCTTAAATGGAGGATTGTAGAGAGGGAAATGTTTTTGGGGATGAGAATTGGATTAATGGTATATAGGAAATAATATAAGTCCTTTGGAAAAAAATGGTCCAACACTTAGAAACAAAAATCAGGCGGGTGAACAGTAAAATCAGCTACTGGAATTTGCCTTTTTCTACCGGACAGATTTTACGAAAATGGGCATAACTTCTTCGTCCGAACTCCGAATGAGGTGAAACGAAGTGTGTTAGGTAGCTAACTCAAAAGGGCTTTCCATGGATATATTATTGGCCACCCAAATAATTTGTGTGCTAGGAGATATGACCCTCCAAAGTAGACCCTCGAAAAAGGCTTCACTTGGAAATTTCGGATTTTGATACGGTTGCTCTAAAATTTGGGTTAGGCCCCATCTCCCACTCAATTTGACCCCCTAAACAAGAATATGAAGTCGGATTTTCGAAAAACGAAACGGATTTTTTATATACAGATAAACAAGTTTCTGGTAACTTCCGAAGCACGTTTTTAAGAACTTTTTGGGTCAAATTCAAATATAATCATTTCATTAAGTTCTCGACTCCAAACTCACATGTGAGGCTCTAGTTTCACTCTATCATTTTCCGAGTCGTTACATGCTGGCACCGGCCCCAGCGGTCGATCTGGTATACGAAGTGCTGAAGGGTCTGCTACTAGCTCTGCATCCTCCTCTCTCTCTCCTGGACTGATGCTACGGCCCTCTTTCGACCTCGGGGTCGGCGTCTACCCCAAGCTAGGGCTCTGTCTGCAGGTCTGGGTGCAATATCCCCGGCCGCGCCACCTTGCGAGCGAGCCATACTGCGAAAGAGTGAAGAAAGTGAGATCTTAAGGAACTAATAAGACACCTGCTGCACAAAAGAGAAACAAAAGAGGAAATCTTTCTAAGAACATCCTGTAGCCTCCCGAAGAAAGGTTGCGGACGTCTCCGCACCGATCTGCAAGACTCTACAAGACGTTTGCTCTGTACAAGTGTGACCGGTGAACCTGAAACTATGATAACAACCTGTCACGACCCGATTTCTCAAGTCATGATGGCACCTACTATACCCTACCAATAGGTAAGCCAACCCGTAACCCAGAACATCAAGCAATGAGCGAAAGGGCAGAAACTAACGATACCAATAATCTAAACAAGAATAACAAGGCGGAAGCAACCCTAAATAAATATATACAGAAATCCCTCCTAGAACCTGGAAGTCACTAGTATAGAGCTATCTAATAAAGAGTACAAGTCCCAAAAGTGGACCACAACAGAGCGTGTCTGAAAGGCAACAAGACCAGCGAAAAACAAAACAAGGAGACAGAACAAACCCAAACGCCAAGTGCTCGCTCTCGTCTCCGAATCACAGCTGCAAAAGAAGGCTAGAACTAATCCCCGCTGGTAACTGGTACTGGGACCTGCATCACGAAATAGATGCAGAGCGTAGCATGAGTACCAACACAACAGGTACTCAGTAGGCATCATAGGCCGACTAAGCAAAAAGGATAAAAACAATTAGAAAGGATAGAATCTAGACACAGAGAGGTCAAAGCAGATACGAAAAGAAATAATACGAGCATACCAGAAACAAACTAAGTACAACTAAACTAAACCTAACTGGACCCCATATGCCCACAAGGTATACACGTGCGCAAGCTCAAATAAAACCTAAATGAACCCCCATAGGCCCGACAGGTACACAGAAAAGCTAAGTCTACTGAGAAAGAAGAAAATCGGGATCCCAGCCCAAAGTAACTAAGATAATCCATCAGACTCCACCCAGCCAGCATTGCACTCCGAGCCCAGCTAGAAAGAGTGACGCTAGGGGGCACCCAACCAAACGGTCCACTCCCAGTCCAGCTAGAAAGAGGGACCCGTGAGTGAGTTAGATATCGCGAGTCGTCCTACCTTGCAGTCAGCTCCCCGCTCAGCTACAAATAGTGACCTGGGGACACCCATCCAGCAGCACACTCCCAGCCCAGATAGAAAGAGAGGCCAGGGGGCGATCGCCGATATCACCAAGTCTACCCAGCAAGCGATACGTTTCCAGACCAGATAGAAAGAACGACCCCGGCGGTGATGGTATCTCCAATATGATTCAATCCAACAACAACCACTGTGGAACGCCGTCTACTCTAAGACATCACAGAAAAGGCGCCAAGCCTATACTATCTCAATCCCACGCCTCTAGAGATGCACCAAACCTTTGAGATTGCGTCGGAACTGTAGAATGAGAGGGGGAAGATACAGAAGTGCAGCAAGTAGCAATAACGCCT